TTTTGAGGATTGAAGCACTTCAAAATTTGACAGTCATCACTTCAGCTTTGCTACTTGTTCTATTTCCTCAGGGATACGTATCCTCAGGTAATATTACTTCGGATGTTAATTAGCAAGATAAAGCTTTATGCATGTTATTAACGAGCCTTTAGCTGTTCAAAATTCTCTTGGATTATGCAGGTCTTGTGGGACTCTCTCTCTCTTACGCACTATCCTTGACGTCATCACATATATTTTGGACTCGAATGTATTGCAACTTATTAAACTATCTTATCTCTGTTGAAAGAATCAAGCAATTCGTTCACCTACCGTCAGAGCCTCCTGCTATTGTGAAGGACCACCAACCTCCATCTTCATGGCCTTCCAAAGGCAGGATTGACCTTCAAGCCTTAGAAGTAAAGTTTCATCCTTGTCTTTCCATTTTTTTTCTTTATTTTAATAGTGTCAAATGGATAAACCCTCTTCTATGTGATGGCTATTTTCCTTCGCTGGTCTCAGATTAGATACCGTCCGAATGCTCCATTAGTGCTTAAGGGTATCACTTGCACGTTTAGAGAAGGGAGTAGAGTGGGAGTTGTAGGAAGAACTGGAAGTGGAAAGAGTACACTCATAAGTGCTTTGTTTCGCTTAGTTGAGCCAGCAAGCGGTGACATTCTCATAGATGGGATTAACATATGCTCAATGGGGTTGAAGGATTTGAGAATGAAACTAAGCATCATCCCTCAGGAACCAACTCTTTTCAAGGGCAGCATCAGAACCAACTTGGACCCTTTAGGCCTGTATTCAGATGATGAGATATGGAAGGTAAATGGACCAGCTCTGCTGTTAAAAATTGTTTTTTTAACATCTTTATGTTTTGCTTGAGCTTTTACTGATCATTTGTTTGATTATGTTTTATTTGTACATAGGCTTTAGAGAAATGTCAGCTTAAGGAAACTATCAGCCATCTTCCAAATCTCTTAGACTCTCAGGGTGAGTAAGCTTAACCTGCTTAGAGCCACAGATCTGGTATGGGAATTTTCTGGCCAATTCTCTCAGCAGCCTTTGGAAAAAATCTATTGCAGCTTTACTCTTTCCAGGTTTAAAATCATGAGGGATACACATAATATTTGAACTTGCAAGTTGTTTTTCCAAAATAAAAGTCTTCGATTCATAGATTAAGATTTTGGAACAAATTAGCCATTTGAAGGCTGATTGAGAATGATTATACAGTGAGTGATGAAGGTGGAAATTGGAGCTTGGGACAACGGCAACTGTTTTGTCTTGGAAGAGTACTGCTAAAGAGGAACAGAATTCTTGTTCTGGATGAAGCCACTGCCTCCATTGACTCTGCCACAGATTCAATTCTACAAAGAATTATCAGACAAGAGTTTGAAGCATGCACAGTTATTACAGTGGCTCACAGGGTTCCCACTGTTATAGACAGTGATATGGTTATGGTCCTCTCCTATGGTATCTTCTTTCATTCTCTTTTCCTCCTTTTTCGATACACTGCTTACTCAGTTAGTTGTCTGATATTTTTTGTATGGTTTCATAGGGAAAATGGTGGAATATGATGAGCCTTCGAGACTAATGGATACCAACTCTTCATTCTCGAAGCTGGTAGCTGAATATTGGGCCAGCTGCAGCAAGAATTCCTCCTAAAATCGTTGTTTTGCAGTAATATTGAATAATAAGTGTTTCAGGATGCAGGGTCTAGAGAACAAATAAATGGAAATAAAATTAAGTAATTTAAATTTTAGAAGGTTGTGGAAACTTGGTCCTTCCTACACTTTGAGTATCGGTTTGGAAGGTTGTGGATGCTTTCATCGTATTGCATGGAGTGATGTTTAATTTGTATCAGCAAAATAAACTCAGTCATATCAGGAAAATAAATTCATGCTGCACTGTAGCAACTATTCACTGAATTCCAAATCCATTCTTTGCCAAAGTTGATCTCGTTCCAATATTTACAATATTCCAAGAATTAGGAAAGTAATTTCAAGACATTAAAAAATGAAGTTCGAATATAACCAGACAGATAAATTAGATAAAAATATAGTTTAATTTAGAAGGTTTGATAAAAAAGAGAGGTTCAAATAATATGGATAGGAGATCATCTATGTTAAAGCTATAAAACTAACATTCAAATAATTTATATTGAAATATAAATTATATGTTTAAAGTTTATTAAATGTGACTATGGTGAAATTTTTTTTCAAGATTTGATTATATTGTATTTACAGCATGTTTATAACCACTGAGATATAATAATAAAAAAATTTGTGTTGTGATTTTTAGCAATGAGATTGTGTAGATTATAAAAAAAATTAAAATTATAAATTTGATCATAATCATATAAAAAAAGTTAGAATATATTTTTATTTGACAATTTTAACTTAATAATTTAATCAATTTATAATAAACTGAAAATATTATTTAAACTGGTTGAAATTTTTTACTAAATTAAAACTAAACAAAATATTTAAATAATTTGGTTTGGTTGAAATTTTGTATTAACTAAAAATTGAAAAGGAGACTCTTTCTTCTTCTTGAACCTCCATATATTTCTTCTTGTGCCCTAATTTAAAAAAGGTTCATTTTGTCATTTTTGAATCGTGGAATCCAAAGTAAAAGAAGTAACTTTTAAATTGTATAATTTGAAAGAGAAAAATAATTTTTAGATTATACAGTTTGAAAACTAAAAATAACTTTCAAATGATAGAATCTAAAGTTTTTTTTTAAGAAAAAGAATAATAATTTTCGAATCACATAATTAAAAAATCATTTTTTCTATTTTATAATTATAAAGCTTTTTTTTTCGGATTGCATAATTTAGATATAATTTTTAGCTTCCTTATTACCCAATTCAAAAGAGGACAACATGGAAAGTTTTTCAAAAAGAGGTGTAGAAAGAAACATATGGTGGTGTAGGAAGAAACTACCTTCAAAAATATTTATGTTTTTGAGCCCAACCTAAGGGAGTCCAGCCCATCCACTATTAAACTACTCATTCTTCTTCAACTTTCAGTGACGAAACCGTAACAATCGAAAGAGAGAGAGAGAGCCGTCGCACGCCTCCGCCACAGCCTCCTCCGTAACGCGACGAGCCCCTCCGCGCCGCAACGACCTCCGAGACGAAAGGCCTCCTACGCCCCGCGACAGCGTCCAAGGTATATTATTTTCTTTAGGGTGTGATTGACTTTTGGTTCTGTAACTAATTAGGTATAATGTTCGGGATCTCATTATACAATTCGCCTTAATCTAGGAATGGCGGAGAGAAAACCAGTTGTAGGTTTATCATGGCAGCCACAGTTTTCTATTCCATCATCATCAAAAGTCACTCATGGGTCTCATGCCAAACCTCAGACGGAGGCATCAAACAACGCTCTTTGGAAATCCAGTTCAGAGCTGGTTGATGGCCTTTTTGTCCCTCCAAACAATCCCAAAAAATTAAACAAGTTACTCAAAAAGCAAGCCAAAGATACTGCTGGGAATAATTGGTATGTAATGTAGTATTAGATTATTCTCTCTAGCAAGTTTGCATCTCTGTGCTGAAGTTTATTCTTTGGAGATTTGTCTTTTTATTTTTAGACACCTTTGCTCAGTGTTGTTGTTGTAACCCTGTTTTTTAAGTCAAACAAATAACAAACGATTTATACTCATTTATACCGTCATCTTATGGTTTCTTCTTTAATTGGAGTGTGAAAGGGAATGATCTTGCTGTTGAATCTGTGTCAGGTTCAATATGCCGGCCCAGACCATCACCCCTGAGCTACAAAAAGATTTGAAATTGTTGAAGGTGATATTGACTTCTAACATCTTAACCTTTTTATTACGTTTTGTTCTATAGTGCTATTTAGTATACGGTCATATGTGATGCACTGTAAAATTAGCTTGGATTGAGCAAATAATGATATGCACTAGTGATAATTAATATATATATGGTAATTTATGTGATATTATTCAAAATAATGAGGTTACTTATACATAATGATGTTCGTGGTTATCATTCTAATTTCTTTCATAATTGAAAGCAGAAGCCGCTAAAGTAGATGATTTTTCTTTTTTATGTGATTTGGTATTAGAGGTACAAGTCGGATTTAGCTTTCTTATTACCATTGTGATATGGCATTTGGGTGAGATAGATTAAAGAAACAGAGAGGGGTAGCAAGAAATAGAAAGACAAAGAAAGAGGAGGGGAAGAGTGGATAAAACAGAATGGGGAGGTTTAAGAGAAAGAGGAGACATGTGAGGTCAAAGAATATGTGCACTGAACTTCTGTAATTAGAATTCGATCTAGATTCAGCTGCCCAGAATACAACAACCTACCTTATTTATGGACAACTACCAAACAGTTATGAACTAACAATAGCTGAATAACTAACGTAGGACATCCTTGTTTTATTTATATTTTCATATGATATTGTGCAATGAAAATTTTGGACCTTTATCCATTTAAAACCATGAAATCATTGTGACTCTTATAGGCCAAAAATGGGCCTGTGGAGGGAGATGGCCCGAAAGGCATTGAAGGTTTATGTCAGAAAAAAAAAATAAGAGATAGAGTTGATCTATTTGTATTGCAGCATAGGCATTAACAAAATTATAAATTATGTTTTATAAGTCAGTTATTTTTTACATGCAGCAGTTACTATCAATAGGTGGCAGTTATTGTATGGCATTACAGAGCATATGTTGTTTAGGAAGTTATCAGAGGGAAAGCTCGGTAGTTCTCTGAGTGTTTCGTTGAAAAAGGAGACTCCTGTTAGCGGAAACCCTGTGTCTGAGTGTGTACTAAAATTTGGTCTCAAACCAGATTAATTAGTCATAAAAGTTCCAGTATTCTGTGTACTCAATTATTGAGTCTAACAGACTTCTGATCTGTAATTATTTCATGTTATGGTGTTAACTTAGAACTCTTCCGGAAACTTCCTTTATATGGTGAGATATGATGCAGTGATGTAAATTTTTGTATATCATATCAAGTTCTCACGCTATGCGTGTGCAATTTCGAGGAATGGCAAATGTTAAGTGAAATTAAAAGCATCTGGAAAAAATCAGTCAGACACAGATTTTTATTTATCTCTCAATTTGTATTGAGCTGTTTAGTTTTATTCTGTGAACCCATTCTTATCCTTACACTTCAATAATAAACGTGTACGTTGGTGGTTACAGTTGAGGGGTGCCCTTGATCCAAAGCGTCATTACAAGAAAGGTGATTCCAAATCAAAGACACTTCCCAAATATTTCCAGGCAAGCAAGTTTTTATTTTTGGCAGATTACAAAAGATAAGCTTTGAGTGTTATTACTTTCATCAAAATATGAATTTCTAGAGGAAATCTTTAGACAATTTGCGATTTTGAATGATCAGGTTGGTACAGTTGTAGATTCTCCACTGGACTTCTTCTCGGGAAGATTAACAAAGAAGGAAAGGAAAGCAACACTTGCAGATGAGCTTCTTTCTGATCAAAACCTTGCAGCCTATAGGTGAGACAGGCCTTGAATTTGTGTATCTCTGGTTAGATAGTTGTTTGTGTGCGTGTTGCAATGCTCTGTTGATTACTTACTCGTTTTCATTAAATAATTTTTCTTAGGAAACGGAAGGTTCGAGAAATTGAAGAACAGAATCGACCAGGTGGGAATGAAAAGTGGAAGATTAAAGGTAGTAATTCCCGGAAGCGGGCTAAGGAAAGGAGAATTTACTGAATTATTCATCCGTTTCAGCCTTAGCCAGAGTTTATGATAGACAGATTTTTGTAGTAGGAAAACTTCCTGAAATTATTCTCCACAATGTGAACTTCAAAACTTCACTTCAATTTACTTCTCTGTATAATTAATTATGTTACCTACATAATATTTTGGTCTTTACATCATAAATAATTGTTTTTAAAATAAATAACTTTTATAAGTATCACATGTTTAACAAATTATAATGTCTTTTAAAAATAATAGATTGCTTATTCTTGAAATAAGTATATTAGATAGTAAATAAATAAATAAAAATCCTACTTATTTATTATAAAATATATTTTAGAAAATAATAACGAACATAATATTATTATTTGAAACAATTTCTCAGTTGTAAAAAAATGTAAATAATAGATTATCTTGTAAGATAATAATTAAAAATAATAATTAAATAAGTTTTTAATTTTTAAATTTTGATCTGAAAATAAAATTTGTTTATGTTCTAAATATCTTGCATTTCAAGCTTTAAAATAAATAAACTTCAAAATAAATAGATATGATTTTTTTTATCTTAAGTGAAATAAAAAATTTTAAATGTTAAATGACGTGTCTGAAGCTAACACAACTTGGCATATTACCATCAAATCTTTTATTAAAATGAATATATATATATAAACCACACCGATCTCTCTTTAGATTTTCTAAAATAACATTCACATTCCTATATGTTTATACTCCATTTATTTATATTTCCATTTTCTTACAACATAATTATACTCGTATTAAAAAATTATTTAAACATAATAATAAGTTAATAAATTTCTATACCGTTTATTCATATTAAAATAAAAATTTCTCAAATATTTTTTATATATTTTTATTAGACAATTTATTGTTGAATGACTGTAACTTTTAACATATTGTTAATGATATAATAAATAAATAAAAAATCAATCTTTTATATATAAGATTCGACGAACCCCACTAATAAGATAAACAAATTAAAACGAGATGATTTGGTTTAGAAGGAATGATAAATAAGATATCTTTGAATAACATCAATGTTTCTAATGTAGGGTTTAAAGTTAAATTTTGTATTGAAGTAAGTTACTAAAATAGATATAACATTTGAATGAACTTTAATAATATTTAGGTTTTCAAATGAAAAACATCACTTAGTATTAATGTTCAAACAAAAGATTTACAAGAAGGAGAAATGGTAATCAA